AAATTTTAGTTTTATGAGATACATTTATATAATTTTAGCTTAATAAAGAATATGACTTTAATCTACTTCCTGAATATAAATTATTTTTTAATATTAATTTTTTTATTGATTTTTCTCTTTTAAATATATTAACAGTAAGAACAGTAACGATTATGACTTACATCACAAACCTAACATATAATCTGTGGGAAATATTTATCTGTAGAACATGCTAAAGATAATAGATGCAATTAGCATCTAATGAGGCTATTATGTAAGACTTGAATATATAATCTGATATTCCTAATCAATGTTTGAAATATTTATTAATTTTGAATAATAGTTAAATTCTGAATAATAGTACACAATGATGGATTATTTTATGAAACACATGATAGCCCTTAATGAAATAGTTTCAGTATCAATTTCTTATGTCCTATATATTTCATAATTGTACTTTTTTTTCTCTTTATCAATTATCGAACATAGTATATAATTATCGAATTAAATTACTGAATACAAATATAATAGTAAGAAAAAAAATAAAAATTTGGACATATAGAATTTCTGGAGCATATAGAAATTGAGCAGAAACTTTTATTTAATGTTACATGCAATATGATAGTAAAAATTTCCCTTCAACATAAAACATACATACAATGTTTCTAGAACACATGCTATAATGTTTCAAGATAAAATAATAATTAAATTACAATTAAAATATTAAAATACTTTTCCTAATAATTAAAAAAAGATAGAACATCTAAAAGCTTTAACATGAAGCCGTAAAACATCATATAATTTTACTTAAATTGGATATCTCAGATAAAAAGTAAAATTTAAATTTTTAAACATATTCAATAAACATTTTTTATGACACATACATAAAGAATTTGAAGTGCTTGAAAACATAATATTTTGTTGAAACATAATTATAATTACTGCTTTTTTTTAAATATATAGCATAAAATAAACATACCTGATAAGAACGAATAATAGCTTGAACAGCCAGGTGGTCATCGATGACCTTTTCATTGATTGGTATTTGGCTCAATTGTGTACCTCCACCAAGTGGTAACAGTGCTCCTAATGGGACTTGATTATGACTTGGGGCAAGAGAAGGAGGAGCCTGATATGCTAGACCTGGTGCAGCTCCAGCAGTAGTACTACGGAAAAATGAGTCCCAAGACTATAAAAAATAAAAATAATAAAATTCATAAGACATTATTGCGAATATTTACTATTGTAATAAGAATATATTTCATGAATTTTTACTAACCACATGTACACTATGAGGATCTTGTAGCCATGCATTATACATTTCTTCTACATAAGAGCTGGAGCTGCCATTGAGAAATGGTTCTGTGGCTACCTTGCTGTATTTTTTGATTAATTCGGTAGCTATCACCTGTGTGCTCCTTGTCAGGGGATGGCTTCGAACCAACCATGATGCAAATCTTTCAGGCCTACACATTCGTGGCGCTAAAGGCGCCAATGTACTAAACACTGTCCTTGCCTTATACATTTTTACCTATAACAAATATTGATATCAATATACATATTTATTAATCCAAAGTTTATAAATTATATGTTTATGTATGATTTTGTGAATTATGCTATTTTAATTAAAACTATGGATAAATAACATTTTGTTATCTTTATCTTATCATTTTATTATCTTTTACTTCGCGAAATTGTTCACTCAAAAAACAAATATTTTTTATTGAAAGATATCTACAAATCTTTAATATTTTTATTGGTTTCTTTCAAAAGGAATTGCTCCTTATCTACACTAATTTTCCATAAGAAGATAAAAAGATACATTAATCAATATTAGACTTTAGCATATTTCTTCATAATCAATAATATATTCTACTATTTTATAAAGCAATTTTGTAATGAAATTATCTTGCAAGACTTTATTCTATTAATAAAAAAATATTTTTATATTTCCTTTTTATTTTAATTGTAGATTCCAATTGGGCAACCATGCATAATGCGCCAACTTGGTGTATGATGAAATCAATTTACATATGTAGATATATATTACATACAATTATGGAAAATATGCATTTTTGAAAATATTAATTAAAACATTGATATACGTTTGTTTGAAATAATATAATAAATAATAATCTAATATTATAGATCTGTTTAATTATGTTGAATATATATATTTACATTCTTTACATACAAAATATATCTTTTTCTCTCGAACATTAGATGTCCAATGTACCTACACACTTGAGAAATGGCAAACGTCCAAAATATACTATTATACTATACGCAGAAAAGCACAATATATATATTATATATTTTTATAATTTAGTAAAATAAAAATAAGTTCCTTGTAATTAAATCACATATTGTAAAAAAAAAATATATATATTTAATATAAATTTGAAATTAAGATATCAATAGAATACAAATAGAAATAAATCTGTATATTAATAGCAAGCAAACAAGATTCTACATTGTAATGCAGACTAGTCTGCACAAATAACCTTGTTATTAATTAATGACTAATATAAGGTAAATAAATTATACAAAAAGATCAAAATACGCTAGGAAAATTCATCATAAGCTTTTTATGTTCAACTTTTTCTATCGTGTAACGCAATATAAATATGCGATATAATGTCACAAATAAATCTACAATTAAAAAAAAAATATTAGGTTAGATTATAATAATTTCTAGTGCACGGTACAAATTACGGTATAACATTGTGCAACTCAGATTCAAACAGACAAAAAATAAATATTCGTATTAATTTAACAACGATTTAACAAACGATAAAAAATTAGAAATATAATGTATATTAATTAGAAATAGGAAGTGTATTCTAGGTTTGACATAGGAAAAAAACAAAAGTTAACAATAACGAATAAGCATGATAAAATATTGATATAATGTTTAATCTTTACCTTCTTTGTTACGATAACGGCTCTGATATTTATCTATCGAATTCGTATTAATGTATTCGTATTAAATTATTTCGTACAGTGGTTTTAATAAAAGATAAAATTAATAATAGTAAAATTAATTGAAACCGATTTCTAGGTTTTATGAAGATTAGTCAAAATAAAAAATTATCTCCTGTCGATTAGACGTCAGAAACATGTGACATTTGCCTTGCAAACGTGGTGAAACACCGATTCTTTACAAAGTATATAAGTATGAATAGAAAATGGATATAAATAAATCCTGAAGACGAAACTGCAAAAAAAAAATAGATGTGAAACTTGCTGTAGCAGTCTAAATACTACAGCGATTACACAATTGCATTTATATATATGTACATATGTTACATATATAAAAAAAATCATACTTTTCATTTAAACACCTTCGTATTGTTAGGTTATTCAATTTTATTACCAAAGAATATTTTACTGTCGTCTCATTGGTGTAAAAGTCGAAAATAAATATCGAAGACAGGTGAATTTGTTTTCTGAGAAAAATACGAAAGAGACAACCAAATTTATTAAGTCAGGTGACTATTTTCGGTTGGCGCAACAATTTTACGTAATCAGATATGTCATGAGAGATGATTTCAAAAAATTTATCGGCCAGTAGAGTCGACGTCACGGAACAGCCAACAATAAGTTCGTCAAAATCACGTTTATTATTCGCCAACGATTGAAAAATCAAACAAATGAAATACAAATCCACGTACCTGATGTTAACGCAACAAACGATGACAGTCCATCCACCATTTACAACTCACAGATAGATCGACCCGCGTCCCTTAAAATATAACCAAGAAACAGATCACAGCGCACCTACCGATCAGGTAGCACAAACCAGTATTAAAATAATTCAATTTGAAAAATTTACTAGGAATTCCTCTAGAATTCTAGTAAGTTTTTCTCTACATCCTGCTTTTCTATTAATTGCAAATAGCAAAACTGTACGCTCGATTTTAAATTTGTTACTATGTAACTGTTTACAGATCGAAACGTATTGTTAGAATACGTTAGATTTTTAAAATCTCAATTGAAAGAATTTTTTTTATCGAATTTGTACATTTATAGCTATATTCATTGAAAATATTTTTACATTCTACTTTTTTAGCTACAAATGATTTTGACTCTCGTTTAACGTCGAGGAACAATCTCTAAAACGAACTAAAGCTTCGAAATATTGATGGATCAAATGAAAACAATGCAGCAAGATAAATGTGGCTTTCAAAGTCATTATAAATCAAGTGAAGGACATTTAAATTTGGATAGAACTAAAATATTTTCCAGGCCTCTGGCGAGAACTAAAAATTCCTTCCATCAACGATTTTCTTTTAACGAAAGAAGAACATATCGGAAACAAAAGATACGTGGTTAAAAATGTAATCGATAAACAATAAAAAAAAGCATAACCTGTGAGTTCTTATTCCTTGAATTTTTTTTTTATAGATTTCTTTTAGTTTTGTATCATCACAAATTTCCTTTTATTTGTTAAAAATTTTCAATTTTTACTAATAGAATCTCTTACAATGACTGTTTAATAATTAAACTATGTATATTAATTAAATGAGAACAAAATATGGATATTAATAACAAGAAGAAATATTATTCTGGTAATTATGCATATGTTTTACATACATAGTTTAAATACGTTCAAGTAATCATAATATTAATGTACTATTAATTACTATATCCCATTTGTACTATGGTCACAACAATGAAATGTACACCTATTTGTATTAAATTTAATTATGCTGATTTTTATCCGTTTAGATGTAAAAAATGTGAAACAATGGTTTTATTCTACAAAAGAAAGATGCGACTCTTTAAAATCTCACATGAAGTACATGAAAATGTTATATCACGATATGCCAAAAATACAAGAAACTCAAAAGACTTTACGTGATTTGAATTGGCAAGATTCTAAAATTAAGGTTTCTAATAACGATCAAAATGTAATTTCCACACAAACGGATTGTAATAGTTCTTTAAAAAAGTATTCCAGTGTCCAATGTAATCCTTAATACTTTTTATTATTGTTTACTCTATTATTATTGCAAATCATAAAAAATAAATTAAAAATAGACGTTCATTTTACAGATAATATGATCTATAAAGATGAACCTTTTGTAACTTCAAACTTAGCAAATGTTATATCAAATAGTGACTTACAACAGAAACATGAAGAAAAACAAGGAGACTTGAATAAACAAGAAGGAATAGAAATTGAATTGTCGTCGATTACACCTCTTACTTCCATTGTCCCACAGAACACAGATATTGAATCAAGATCATTATTACCATTTCAGAAAGAGAACATGGTAGTATGTATCATGTTTAAATCACAAATATATTTGATGTGCCTTCTAAGGAAAGTTGTTCTTTATAACTATATTCGTAAAAATCTTATTAGCAGTGTGACGAACACAATCACAATTGGAAATTTCCATATCAAAAGCATTTAACAGAATATTCTACAGAATTAATAGAAAATAACGAAAGTTCGAACAAATCCTTTGAACAATTAATTCTGGATAATCAGAATGGTTATTTATTTCAAGAACCATCTCCTATGAAAGATATTAAATTAAATATTTCTCACGATGTTAAAGATAAAAACATGGACAAAAATAAATTCTCTGCAAAGAATGAGAAAAAAGAAAGAGCAATTTCTTCGGCATTATCAAGCAAGAAAGGTTCCTCGTCTAAATTAGATGACATTGTTTCAGTGAAAATTAAAAAACGGAGAAGAAAAATACATTGCTCTAACTCACGGAGTACCGTGACCACAAGAGATACAACTTTTCTAGGAAAAAAGGACACAAAAAGACGAAAACAAAAAAGTATCACATAAAGATGTTCATTTGAGAATTTTATATTGATTTTTATGTATATTTTAGATAATATAAATAGTCGTCATACATTCAAGTCTCAACAAACATCTAACGAAGTAGTGGAAATTTATCATAATGCAGCAGCAAAGAGTGGTAGCACATCTGCTATTCCTAGTAAACATTCAAAACTTGAACATCATATGAATTATATTAACATATTAACATCTTCAGCTATGAATAAACAACAAAGCACACCCAAAAAGTCAAAATGTGAAGATAACAATTACCAAGATGTTTGCAATGCTGATATAAATAATCCTAAAAATGATTCCCAGAAATATCAAATTGGTCAGAAAACAATGTAAGAATTCATACACAATGTCGTGATTTTAGCAATGATATATATAATACAAATTTCTATTTTTAGAGGAAGAAATACAATTATTAATGATCTAAATAATGATTTAAAAGTATCAACCATTCCTGTATGTACCATGGAGAACTATAATTCACATCAATGTCAACATACAATTATGCAAGCATCATATTTCGATCCGATAGTTACTCATAATTATGAAATGCCAACTTTAGCTTCAAAATTGAAGCGAGCTAATCGTTCATATTTTGGTAGATTCAACTTTCGAAATATACCTTTTGTAGTTGGCACTTCTATAACTCCAAGTCACAATTTAGGTTTAAATATACAGCAAGTATGTTATTAAATTTAAAAATGAGCTATGTCTATTCTTATAGATTTTCTTTATTCAAAAGGTTCTGAGCATTATGAAAACAAGGCAGATTTCTGCAACAGGAGCTACACCTCTTCTTATTCGTAAAATTAGCAGAGGTATGAAGCCTGCGTCTATTCTCATAGAACAAATAAATGATCAGCAGAGTAAACTGCCTCACATGAATTCCCGAATGGATGATATGCATGCACAGAAAGAAAATTTATTTATGAATAAAGGTGATCGTTTATTAGAAAATGAAAATATGCTTTTAAAATATAATAGAAAAGGAATGAGTAATTTAGATGTGAATTCAAAATCGACCATTGAACAATATCAAAGTCTACCAAAAGAAATTAGCAACAACGAAAATAAATATGAGGACCACAAAAAAAAGGTTTGCCCAGAGTATAAAATATGCATTTCAAAATGTAAAAGTTTCATTTTTGTTATCTACAGGATACTAGATCTGAGAATCAATTGAGTAGATTGAATACAGCACAAGTATTACGTGCAACAAACAATAAAATGTTGAAATTGTTTGCTTCTCAACAAAATGTAAATGCAAAGATAGGAAACTCACAAATGCAACCCAAAACATATCAGGTAAAATTGTTTAAACAAATAGTTTGCTCAAGAATATTAATCCAGAATATGTTACAGGACAATATTTGTAATGAACACATTTCTAACACATCAACAGTTAATTATTCTCAAAACTCCAAAGGTATACGGGAAGTTCTCATTAATCTCCATGATCAATTCGAAGAAATGAACATGTAAGTTAGATGAACCAATGCTAACTCACAGTAATTTATACTTTATCAGTAATTTAATACCTCTTAACACATACATGTAGGAAATATGAAAGATTACAAGCAAAAGCAAAAAAATACAGTGATAAAGATTTAGAACAAGAAGTGCTACATTTAGAAAAAGAATTAAGTATTAAAGAAGACGAGATAAATGCTGTTGTTAATTTATATAAAGAGGTAAGATTATTTTCCTAACTTTTAAATTAAATCATAACATTTTACAGCTTTTACACGATATCAATATTTATTAAAATGTTTTAATGTTTTTGGTCTTAGGTAATGGCATTAAAACAGGAAATGAGATTATTGCAAAAAAGAGACAGTTATGTTTGTATATCAACTGAAATTCCATTGAGGACAGATAAAATGTATGCAGCTATGCCATTTATGTCAACTAGATCTAATGGATCTAATTTTCAGCAAAGATCTATTCATAGAAAGGGAAATAGCGTTATCGCAAAGGAACCTATTTCTTTTCGTCTTGCCGGTCTCTTACGGCAAATCCAAACATTTCAAAACCAATTGAAGCTAACATCATAATAATAATACATTATGGATCATATTCATCACGTAAGCTGAAATTATTAATAAATTTATTACATGATATTCATTGAAATAATTTTTTTATATATCATCGTAAAAAATGATCCAAAGTTAAACAAAAAATGATAAAAACACAAAGTATGAGTTAAAATAAACTTGGAAATATTTTTTCTTAAATAAGAAATGTCTCTTATAACGTCTGCCATTATAACGTTCGAAAGGTTATTATTTTAAGTATTAAAATATAAAATATGTACTGTAAAAGAAATGTCAACTTTTTTTCTACTTCAACATTTTAATAAGGTTAATTCAGTATAATAGAAATTATATTTTTTATAATTTTCTTTTATTCAATTCTATGTGCTACTTGTTATAACAACTAATAGATTTATTTAGTTTCGTGTATTTATGTACGCATCTGCTTTCCATCTACACATACCGTTTTTATGTATATACACAATTTTGTGGTTTTAAACGCTGCAGAACAATTAAGTTTTTAATCAATTTTTACTTTTGTCTGTAATGTTTAAATACATCGTAAAAATTCGCGAGTTTCTTTTTTGTGAAATAAAAAATCAATTTATTTTCCATAAATACGAGATTTCAATAGAGGCAAAAATATTTATCTCGTAAATAATTACACAAAATGACATGCTTTAATATCCATAAAAAGATGTATCTTTTCTACTGAGATTTATTTCAGAGCACATTAATAGAAAATGTTAAATTTTACTTTTAAGGTAGTATCCCTTTTTTATTTTTATCATAAAGATCACTGCTTGGACACTCAAAATTAATTCAATATTTTGTGACATTTCTGTCTCATATTTAATACAAAATTTTATGAATCTGTTTCTGCAAATACAACGATAAATTTGAAAATTGTGAAAGAAAAATATCGTTTTTGTAAATTATTAAAAGATATAAAAAATATTGTAAGTTTTGTTAAATTAAATTGTTAGATTCTCCAGATTTTCCTACTTCAACATTTCTCTTTTTTTCTTTCTTTTGTACAAAAAAATGTAACATCACTTAAGTTACTACTTTTATTTTACGATCTTTTAAACAGATCATCAATCGTAATTACCTTCGGAGACGGCCGAAAATTCCCTCATGTCAAAAAATCCCACAAAAAAAAAAAAAAAAAA